TTTTAAACAAGTCTAGGAGATTCCAGTGTACTTCAAAGTTGAAATGCCCTTACATTACAGTTTTCCTGCATTGTAGATAAAATTAATGCCAATTTCAGATGAGGCAACGAAGGCTCACAGAGGTTGCATAACCTGCTCAAGTTCCCAGTGGCTGGACTGGATTCAAACCCAGGTCTGTGTGCCCCACACCCCCATTGGAGGTGGAAGCGAGGGGCACTGGATCACACTGCCAACTCACACAGGTCTCTTGGGAAATACTAGGAGTGAGGCAAAAGGCCAGCCAGGTATTTTCAGACTTGAGGACAAAGTCATGGACAAAAGTGAACAAACTAAGGTCGCACAGCAAGTTTGTGGCAGAGCTTGGCCAAAGGGAAACCCTGGTGTTCTGACTTGAGCATGGGGCTGTCCCTCCTGCGCCACTGAGGGCTCCGATGCCATATACGTGCGTGGAGGGGGAAGCCCTGAAGGAAGAGTGACTTGAAGATGCCCTCCTAACCCACACAGAGCCCCAGGAGGAGATGAGGGGGAAAGGAATCCATACTGCCAAACACACATGCCTCTTATGGTGCCCCCAGGTCACGGCCCCCACCTGTCCTCACCTGGAGAGTTTCTTCTACAGTGTCCCTGGGGATGGGGACTTTGTTGCCAATCTCACCTGAAAGCTGGGGAATTTCACATCCTCCCCTGGAGCAGCCAGGGCAAAGGTTCCGAGTTCCGTCACCATCAGACCTGGAAAGGCGGCAGGGTACTGTGTGGCGAGGGGTGAAGGGGCACCCACTGGCCCCTTGGTGGCCCCAGGGTCTCTGATCTTCTCTGGGCTGCCATCTCCCCGCGTTGTCCCCTGTTCCCGGTGGTGGAGGGGGTGCACATTCGTCCCGCCCAGCCTGGGTGGTTCTTTCATGGTCCGGCCACCAAAAGGAGCATCTCTTCAGACAGAGACTGCTGTTCAGGGTGGCTCTACCCCACCGTGCCCCTCACTGCTCCACTTCCTCTCCCCACCCCCAACCAGTTGGCAGAATCCTTTTCTGAAATGCACTTGAGGTGTGGATATAACAATGAAAAATCTTCAGTGGACACAAATGCCCCACCCAGAGAATGGACCCCCAGACCTCTCTCCATCTAGCCAGTCAGCCAGTCCCTCCCCGTATCCCTCGCCCCTCTACCTTTACCCCTCTCCTCTCTCCACCTTCTCCCTCCTCCCATCCTTTCCACTGTGCTTTACTAACCTCAGCTCAGGTTTCCACAAACAGGGGGTGCTGGAGGGAGATGCTGAGGTCAAAGCCTCTTTATTTTAACAATGAATCAGAACGTTGCCCTGGAGGTGGACAAAGACCACGCCCCTGATGCTCTCATAGGCTCTTTCTAGGTGCTTTATTTACATGAAGGCTGTGGGATTGGACAACCCGAAGACTAGCGGCAGGGCGGAGGCGGGTGGTGCCCAGATGCCTCTGAGCGCGGGACCAGCAGCACGTTTAGCCTGAGTAGCCTGGTCCAGGACCCTAGGGGGCCCTTGAGAGAGCTAGTCCTGGCAAGTCTGGCTCCTCCTGATCGCTTTTCTTGGTCGGTTCATTTCTGCTACAGTCTCCTAAGTTGGCTTGGGCTAGAGACCTAGCCTCTCTGTGCCTCAGCACTCTAATCAGTAAAATGGAGGTAGTAATAGTACCTGTGAGGATGAAATGAAATGCCCAAGGGTTTTCACCAGCTGTTTGCACACTTCCACTGACGCAACACTCATGGAATTCAGAGCTCTCTCTTTTTTAAGCCTGCCCCCTTTTTTAAGCTAACATTTATTCTGCACTATGTGCTAGCTCCTGTTCCAAAATCTTTACATTTATGAGGACATAGTAACCCAAAGGAGTAAGTACCAAGATCCTCATTTCACAGCAACTGATGATCAGAGAAATTAACTTGCCAGTTTCACACAGCTAGTAAGTGGCAGAGGCCGAGACTAAAACCATGGTGTGCCTGACTCCACCGGCATCTACAGAGCATCCTCTTCACTAATTCACTCATTCACATGTACCTGGTATATGCCATGTCTGAATAGGCCGCTGGGGAGATGGTAACATGAATAAAATGTGGTTCCTTCTGAGATGAGGAGCCCACTGACTAGTGGGAGAGACAGCCCCTGAACAGGTCATCCTGGCCCAGGATGGAACAGGCAGAAACACAGCTTCATAACACGAATGAGCTTTCTGCTTTGTCCCAATTACCGTAAGCAAAACAGGGAAGAGTGAGATTCACGTTCAGTATCTAGCTCTAGCACTTTCTGGCTGTGTGATCTTGAGAAAGTTACTTGACCTCTCTGAACCTAGGGTGGACACTGGGTCTGAGTTTGAAGCTCAAGGTATGGCCTCAGCCCTCTAGCCCCCACCAATCAGTAAAAACTGAAGCCAATCAGAGTAGTCCTCCCAACAATTCATTAAATATGTATGGAGCCCCTACTTTGTCAGTTGTGTGTGCTGAGGATACATCAATGAACAAAGATCGAATCTCCTGCTTTTATAGTGCTTACATTCTAGTGGAGACAGACTACAAACAAGATAAGCAGTAGACAAGGTATGTTAGTGGGTAATGGGTGTTAAAGAGAAAAATGAAGCGGGGGTGGGGGGTCAAAGTGGCTGGAGTGAGCAGGGCATTACATTTTAAATAAGGTAGTCAGAGAAGACTACACTGAGATGGCGACATTTTAGCAAAGACCTGGAGATGAGGCAGTGAGCCTGCAGGCCCTGGGGAAGTGTTTCCAACTGAGGGGACAGAAGTGGTGATGCTGGAGTGGAAACAGTGAGGGAGGGAGCCCCTAAGGTCTGTGCCCGGTCATCTCCACCTTTGCTCACGCCGTTCTCTGTGGCTGGGACACCTCTCTTCAGAGATTTGAGGAAGCAGAATTGTTACTGACAGTTCTACCCCACTGAGTCTGTTTTCCTCAGTCAAGTGCAAATGGTCATCTCAGCCCTGTCCACAGGCCTGTTGGAGAATCATGTGCTCTGGGCAGGTAAGATATAGATGCAGAGGGCTGTGGTCCAAGGCAGCAGGGGCAGGACGGGTCATCAGGGCTGGCTCCAGCCAATGGTTACCCTGCAAAATGGTGACCCAAAGTGGCCAGACTTGCTTTTACTGACCCCTTTAGAAACTTGTGCCTTGATAAAGCTCTTGGAGGTCTCAACCCACAGGGTGCACAAAATGGGGAGCAGTAGGAGTAAAGACTCCAGATGTGAAGCATGTAGAGAGGGCAAGATCTAGGAGAAGACAAGATCTCCAGAGGGTTCCGATTCCACCACTCCTGATTCTAGGACTGGTGAAACCGTGACGCAATTTCCTGTTTGCTGGAAGAACCGATGGCACACACAGGAAAGAGCAGATAAGAATTTAATACTAGTAAACATTAGAAATTGTAGATGTAAGTAGTGAATGACCCATGTCACTGGGGATGGGAGACCAGGTCAGATGGATCAGCAGTCAGCAGCAGCCGCACGCACACTGAAGACACACCAGGGAGCGCCAGGTTCACATGCATGGTTTCGTTGCTGCCTCAGAGCAGCCCAAAGAGGCAGTTGTCTTATGTCATCTTACACATGGGGAACAGACTCAGAGAGGTTAGCATGGTGAGAAGCTCACACAGTGGCCTAGTGGCAGAGCCAGGATTCCAACCCAAACCTTGCTGTGCAGTGATCCCTTCCTGCGTGCAGGGGCCTGTGAGGGCGAGGCTCACACTCAGCTCTCCTGGTTTGCATACCAGAAGCACCTGGGGAGCCTGGTAACAGGCCCCACCCCCTGCCCTGCATGGAGGTAGCCAAGCAGGGCAAGTCACCCCATCCTAAGCACAGGGGATGACAACTGGAAGGCAGCAGGAAGAGCAGGTAGGAGCTGAGAAGTCAGGTCACAGGCCACAAGCCCTGAGCTCCACGTTCCTATGCCCAGCTGTGGCCTTCTGATATGGCCCGCACCAGCCACATCAGACATCACCAGATGGTGGGTTTTCATGGTGACATAGGAGAGCACCTGCCCACCCCCTACCGCAGCCTAGCAGACCACTGTCCCTGAGCCTGCCCGACGGCGTTGCAGGGCAGCTCCTGGCAGGCCCTCTATGGGGCGAGTGCAGGGAAGGCCCACCCTGCAGACGTCAGCTCCTTCTCCTCCAGCGTCTCTCACATCCCAAGGCCACAGACCCGGAAGCTGTGCTCCTGTCACCTGTCACTGTGACCATCTCTCTCAGTAGTCCATGAGCCAGGGATGACAGCCCATCTACTCCCCTTTCAGCCCTAACCAGGGTACAACACGATATCCTTGTGTCCTGGCCCAGAATCACAGGAACCAGTAAGTAGCAGGGGAAGGGGGTGGGGTGCCTGACACTGCCCTGGCTGTCCTCACTGGTACCACATCCACTTGCCACAGATGGACCTGGATTCTGCCAACAGCCCTGCTTGGTCAGAACAGCAGGGTATGTAAGTGGCATGGGTCACCCATAAGCTGGGATAAGGAAAGGACAGGGCTGGTTTTTACCAGCTCTGAAGCCGCCCAAACACCAGCTGGCCTCCTAAGGGGTCTGCTCGGACAGGGCCACACTTTGAGGAGAGAGACATCTTCTTTAAAAAAGATCAACCACTCCCTGCTTCTGGGGGCTGCTGGGAGCTTGGGATGCTCCCCCAGTTGTGGGTGGGGAAGGCTCCAAGATCCATCTGCTTCTGTTTCAATTTTAGCTGAGACGAAGAGGGTTAAGGAGAAGGGACGGGCTCCACGTCGGCAATAAAGGGCAGAGTCTGGCACTGCTCATCCACCTGCCCACTTTCCAGAACAGCAGGTGGACTCTGGAATCTACCAGCGCTTATACTGGTCTGCACCCCTGCTTACCGAGCCCAGACGTGATGCTGCCTTTTCATGCTCACAGGGAAAACTGCTGCAGGGTGAGGATGGACTCATTCCTCAGCCATTCCCACCACCCTGGAAGTCTGCCCTTGGCACGCGGCTTCAGGGCCAAGGACAAACAAACCACAGTGCACTTAATTTTACAAATCTAATGAGGGCCCAGTGGGATATACGTTTGGGAAGATGCTCTAAATCTGGCCTGGAAGGCTCTTCCTGAGGGAGGCCACTTCTTAGCTGCCTGCTCCTTCTGGGGTTCAAGCCCCAGGCCGGAGAGGTGCTGGTCTCCCAACTTTGGGCTCTGGAGTCACCATCTCGATGCAGGTTGGGTTACGGGGACAGCCAAGCAGAGACAGGACAGGTTTCTTCAGCCCAGGCTGGGCCCTGGCCTGGTTCTCAGGCTCACTCTCTGCTGTGCTGGGATTTGCCGGTCAGCCGACGACGCTGGGTCTTGCTGGTACGAGTGGCACTCGGGGGCTTCTTGGTGGAGTCCTGGGCCTGGCGGGGATGTTTCCTCTTGACCTTTTTGCGACTGTGTGCATGAAGTGAAGCTGTGAGAGAGGAGATCCTGTGGGAGGGAGAAAGTCAGGTAAGGCGAGGGCCTCAGTTTACTCTGGGGAACAGGGCATAAGCAAAAGGTTGGTTTAGGGGTGACTGACAGCCCAGCTCACGAAGGGGAAGTCACGACAAGCCCGAATACTGGGAGTACCAAGTCCATTCCAAAGGCAGCCTGTTCTGACCCCAGAGGGTCTGCCATACCCTCAGCTCAGAGACAGAAAGGCCCTTACCCCAGGCATGGAGGGCACCCAGGGTTGGCCGTTACTGGGGGGTGGGGGTGGAGGACAGTGAGGAGGGGTTGATGACAGGCTGAGAAGAGGGTTGTTTGGGGCCCCACACAACCCCCCACAAACCAGCAGGAGTTGACTCCACAGGCTATGTCACCAACGCCAGCCGTGTGGAGGACAGGCCAGGGCTCACCGCTGGGATAGCAGAGGATCTCTGGACTTCCTGGGTAAGGCTTTGGTTGGCTTCTCCATGGATGATGCCTCCTCCTCAGATCCATACCCAGCTTCTTGCTAAAGCAGCATAAAACAAAGACTGTCACAGAGAGCAGTGGATCGGGAGGCCTGGGCAATCATGGCTCTGTTGAGTGGGGGAGTGACCCGTCGCCTCCCAGGCCTGAGTCGGTGCTCAGAGAAGGCAGTGTATGCCCTGAAGCAGGAATTATGCAGGGCAGAGCATGTTTCAGAGTCCTCCACTGCCTCAGCTTCCAATGGACACTCAACACTCACAGATGAAATAACTCTAAAATGGGGACAAGACATGTCTTTGCATCAGACCTTTCAGAAGTATGAGTACAAAACAGAAAGTGAATATGAGATGTGATAAAACGGTGACTCCAGGACTTAAGAACACTGTAACCCATGATAGAAAATGTGGTTTACTTTGTAACTGTGTATATACATGTATATACATATATAAATACCTACACAACCCAGACAGCCACAACTTTAACTGAAAGGAACTTACTGTGCAATGCTTTCCATTTTTTAAAATGCTGGTTGCAACCTGCTAATAACTCACAACCTATAGGTTGAAAGTTCATTGTCAGTGCACAGCGAAGTACCTTTTATTGTTGCTTATCATGCAATGGGAGTGATCACAATAAACAGCTATCTTAAGTGCTTTTTGTGGGTTTACCACTTTTAACCTCACAGCAATCCCACAAAGCAGGTGCTATCATCTGCGAACCCCAGTTTACCGGTGAAGGGAAGAGGCAAGACAAAGATACTTGCCCAAGCTCCCACACTGCCCAGCAGTAGAGCTGGCCTCTGAAACCTCAGGGCTAAAGGATTTTGCCCAGAGGAGAAAAAGTCCCTTGCACTGGAATCTCTGTGACACGGACCAGCACTTTACACCCTTGACCAACCAGTCTGTCCCTGTGTCCCTTCTTTCCCAGGGTTGGGAATGACACCCACCTCAGGCGGCAACAGTCCGAGCAGCCGGGCCCCCGACAGGTCCAGGTCGCTGATGGTGGTCACGGTGACTGTGTGGTTAGGGTGGTCATACTGCACTGACTCCGTCTTTGCTGTCACCAGCCGGTCTAGTTCATCTGCCTCCTCTGTGCACGGTGGGCATAGAACTGGGTGTTGGCCCCAGGCACAAGAAACCAGGCTCCAGCCCCTCCCAACCCTGGATTGCAATGGCCCCTCTACTCTATGGGAGACCATTTGGGAAGTCATCGGCTCCAGAAACTGGCCTGCCAAACACTGCTGGAAATGATCCGACTCTTCCCTTTGTGTTCCAGGGAGACCTCAGACCATCTGGTCCCCTTCTAGGACAAGCCCAGTGTGACACCAGGAGCTGCTGCCGCTCCTTTACTTCCACTCCCAGTCTCTCCAGGCCTCAGAAATGGGGCTGTCTGCTCGGGATCAGTTTACCGAAAGGCTTGGGTCTCCTCTGCATCCAGATCCACTCTGATCTCAAGAACCACCCCTGACCCCTAGGTCACCACCAAGACCCCTAGAGCAAAGGAACTCAGCTTCTGTGCAGCACCCCATATCACCCCCCCTACTCACCAAGGGATAAATAAACCCAGGCCCGCTGGCTATTCTCCAGGTCAGGCTATTCTTAAGGATAAGACTTACCCAGAGCCTCCTCTCTCTCTGCCAGCATCTTCAAATATTCTTGGTGGCGCTGAAACCAAAAGGTTGGGGATCACAGTAAATATGGCCTCTCGGCCCCACCTCAGGCAGGAGCATTGCTCACCTCCAGGGTGAGTGAGTAAAAGACCAGGAGTTTCCATCGTAAACCTTTCCCAGACCTGGTGTCTCTACCTGTGTCTCAAACTGCTCCCCAGGCCTGCTCACACCTCCCCTCATCCCCGCAGAGGCCCCTACTCAGGCCACCCAAGGCTGCAAGTCCTCAGAGTCAGAGTCTCCTGCCCTCCTCCTCTGCACCTCCTCACGGAGCTTCTTCTGCTCCTCCTTGAGCCGTTGCTTGATCTCCTCAATGGCTGCCTTCTTCCGCTCCACCTTCCGCTTATGGAAGCCTGTCAGGTACTCCCTACAGGAAAGATGCAAGGGAAAGTCAGGCCATACAGAAAGAAAGTCTTGCTACAATAAAAACAGCTAACACTACACTCATTATGTGCAAGGCACCATTCCAAAAACTTTCAAGTGTTAATTCATGTAATCCTCACAACAACCTGTGTAGTAAGTACCAATCTCTGTTTTACAGATGGGGTCACTGAGGCAGAGAGAGGCTAGGTTACTTGCCCAAGGTCACAGAGAGTGCAAGGTTATGAAAAAGAGGGAGATGCTGCCACTTTCTACCCGCTACCCTCCAGGACTCTCAGCTTCAAGCAATAGAGCTAGGTGACTGGTATAGGTTGTGGGCCTCTGAATCTAGAACAGGTGGAGGCCCCTTCTATACTGCCAAATTCCATTCCCCAATGATGTCACTTCTAACAGGACTTTCAAGGCCACCTTCATCCAGACCGCCACTTTCCCCTGGACCAATACCCCATTTCCCAGGGCACCTACCCCCTGGACCCATCTGGAAGGCCTGTGGATGCCCCAGCATTTCCCTCCATCTGATCTCAGCCCCTTCTCAGCTCTGTAGAGCCGACTGCATCATTCCCATCTGTTCTGAGGCTCAACACTAGGGTTTTCGCTGATCCACTACCATATGGAACCCTGAGTGAGGGATTTGATAGACCGGATGCTGAGGCTTAGGGGTCTAGCTAAGGGGTTCCAACATCTGACACACAAAACGAAGGAGTAAAAGTCTGGTTTGTGAATAAATGAACTTAAGCCATTCATTTCATAAACTCATCATTCATCAACAACAGATGAGAAGGAACTCATCGTACGGGGCCGCTGGACTGGGCTAGGGAGGTCGAAATCATTGGTCAGAGACTTCAGCTGCCAGCCCTCTGGCCGTGCACACAACAGTAAGCGAGTTGGGGCACCGAGAAAAGCGAAGGGAAGGCGGGGCAGGCGATTCCATTCCATAGGCCAGGGGAAGAGAGTGGGAGCTCCCATTCGGGAAGGGGGGAATGTCCAAGGGGCGCTTCGGCCACGCCAAGAGGGCGGGGCCGGAAAGGCCCTCTGCGTGAGCGTGCGCGGCCCGGACTGGCCTAGGCTTTGTCTGGCGGCCCGAAGGGGATCTAGTCCAGCCTTGCCACTCACCGCCGTTTCTCCTCGTCAAAACTGAGGATGAGCCGCGGCCGCCGGCTGTCATTATCTCTCTTCTTCTTCTTGTTGCGGCCCATAATTTTGAGGCCTGGGCGGCACGGCTCCTACTCGCCTAAGACGCTTCCGGGTGTAGCGTTTTTGGCTTTCCGGCGCTCCTCACAGCGGTGCTCCGCAGTTCCGCTCATCAAGCCCAGTCTTTTAAAGGTTCCGCCCCAGCCGGTCTCCTCGCCCCTCCCTTTTGGGTGTAACAGGCAGCTCCCTGCCGGGCGACTCCCGGCCCGACCTTTCCTCCTCCACTGGCAAGAGTGCGAGCGTGGCTCTGAGGTCCTAGTGTCTGGCAACGTACCTGACACACGTAGGCGCTCAGTACAGTTATTAGGGAATAGGCAAAGATTGCTGATTCTGCTTTTGATTCTAATGTCAACTTGGTGGTGGTCTCCAAGAGCACGTTTCTGGAGGCAAACTACCTGGGTTAGAATCCTGGTACCCCAATTAGAGCTGTTGGACCAGTTGCCTTTGCTGTGCCTGAATTATCCTGTTTGTAAAATGGGGATGCTTATAATGATTTTGTAGGGTTATTGTAAAGCAGTGTTTTTCAAACTTTGGTGTGTACCAGAATCCCCTAGAGGGCTTGTGAAACCCAGATCGCTTGCCCCTCACTATAGAGTTTCTTGTTCAGCAGATCTGGAGTGAGCCCCAGAATTTGCATTTCTAACAGAGTCTCAAGTGATGCTGATGTTTCTTGTCCGCAGACCAAACAACACCTGAAGAGCAATTTTAGTAGTCTGTATGCTTGAATCCCCCTGTAAATTGTATGCTTGAATCCCCCTGTAAACAATAATATAAACGGAGCCAATAATGTAAATTTTTAAATGGAGCTGGCGCTGCCATGCCAGAGGAACTGCCTTGCACATCCTATGCCTTAAATCTTTAGAATGTTAAAACAAGGCAAAATAACCTGTTTTTTTAGGACTGGGCCTAAGCAACTTTGTTTCCCAAAGAACTATTTGCAAAGATAACAAAAAAGCAGTTATGACTACTGGGCTGATGACTACTGGACTGAAAATTAAAAACATTGTTTAGAATTAACATCACTGTTACGTTTGTTATCTGCACCAATAGAAATGCCTTCCTCCTATTGATGTAATTGTCCCCTTTCCCATTCTCATACATACCCCTTGCCTTTGTCTCCTGATGGGTACATTATTTGGGCTTCTGCCTGAATTAATGATTCCCAAATAGTTGTTATTATTGATCTCAAAAAAAAAAGGCTTGTTGCCTCTCACTTTGAAAGGCCCTTTTAGTCTCTGGTTAGCACCCTGTTCTCAACTCATCTGTACTGGGTGGTCCCACAGGGTCAATGATCAGTGTAGTCTAAGGGATGATACCTCTGCAAGGAGAAGCACAAGAGGCTGCAAGAGCTCAGGGTTGGCTCCTCCAGTGTAGAGGGCTTCCCAGAGGAGGTGACCCCAGAACTGGCTAAGGATGGGGGTACCAGAAGAAAGACTCTTAGGAACCAACCCTCTCCTTTGACAAGTGACTGGATTCCAGAAAGCAAGTAAGCACATATGTATTGGGTGCCTGCAGAGCGCCAGGCACACAGAGAAGGAAAGAGAACTATAATATCTCAGAGAAGGGAAGTGACTTGTCCAGGGTTACAGTGCTACTCTGGCAAAGCTGGACTTGATCACTGGATCACGGGCCTCATGGCCCAGCATCCTGGGCCACTGGCCAGAGGGATCACTCTCCCAGTAGCTAATATGGATTCTTTTGAAGACAAGATGCAGACCCTGACCATGAATCTTGGAAGGAGCCAGGCACACAGTAGGTGCATCTCTCCATGAATGTTGAACCCATTTCGTGAGGGTCTTCTGCCTTGGGGGATTCCATGTTGGTGCTAAGTGAAATCCTCAAATCAGGGCAAAACAGGGGGCTGCCTGGTGGTGTGAATTTCAGGGTGATAACTGCCCCTCTGACCCTCTGCCCCCTAGTGGCCACACCCTGAAGCCCCCCTTGGTACCCTCCCTCTGGGAAGAAGCATCACTCTGGCTGCAGTGATGCCCACCAAAGATGCCTAGTGAACAGCCTTCTGCAGCTGAGCTGCCTCCTGTGAGTCCCAGGCACTGGGTCTCAGGGCTGCTGCCTGCTGTTTCCCAGGCTCTGCCAGACTGGCTATAAGTGGAAAATGATGGGGGTCTGCTGTCAGACTCGATAAATCATAAAGCTTTCTGGACCCCTTTCCTCTCCAAGGTTTATTCGTTCTGTCTCCCACTTTGCTGAGGAATGTTCTCAAGGCCTCACTTGGATTATCTCAGTTAGTCCTTGCAATCTCCCTGTGAGGTTGGTGCTGCGTTCATTCCTATTATACAGGTGAGGAAAAGGAGGCTCAGAGAGGGAAAGTGACTTGACCAAAGTCACCCAGTTAGGAAGTGGTGTACAGAGCCATTCCTCGACCGCTGCCCCGGATGTGGAGTGGTTCTGCCCTCCGGAGCTTGCAGTCTAGTGCAGAGATGGACCAAGTAAGTATATAACAGGGCCTTGTGTGGGGAGCTCTGTGCAGTTGGCCTTTGCCATCCACCTAGCCCGAGCTGCTGGCCCATATGGGGCTCAGATAGGCCTCATCTGCAAAAGCTCACAGTGCAGAGTAAAGTCCGCCACCTCAGGTGGGTGCTTTTGCTCCAAACTCTTCCCAGGGAGTTTCAGGTCCATGCCCCAGGGAAGGAGGCGAGGGACTGGCAACCCCACGCAGAAAAAGCTTGAGAGCCCTTTACTGCCACTCATAGTCTAAAGTACCCACCATCCTTTTGGGCATTACTTTTGAAATTTTTGTTTATTGTGTGCCAGGCACAGTAAGACATGGCACATTCTCTTAATAGAAATGATGATAAAGATGATGAGCAAAAGGAATTTTGCTATTTATTTAGCTCTTTACACGATTATCTCTTTTGAGATGAGCCCCATTTTACCGAGACTTGGAGAGGTGCAGTCACTTGCTGGAGGTCATACAGGCAAGAAGAGCAAGGGCTGAGGGTGGAGCCCAAGTGGTGTAAGGGCAGGGCTCTACTTAGTTTCTCTGGACCCAGTTTTATAGGCTCTTGAGACACCGTGAGTCTTAAAAGAGGTGAAGGAAACCAACATTTACAGAGCCCTAACTATGTGCCAGGCACCATGCATTCCTCTACATTATCTCAGCTAATTCTTACAACCCCACAGGGTAGATACTAGTATTAATGCAATTTGATAGATGAGTAAACTGAGGTTCAGAGAGGTTGAGTAACTGATCCAAGGGCACAGTGTTGGAACTGGGGTTCGATCATAGATCTGATTCTGAGTCGTTTCCTTCCTCCACACCCAATGGTCTCTCTCCTTATCTTCCCCAGGGCTTTCCTCTGGCCTATTGTAGTCCCAGTCTTGGTGTATTGTGGGTGTCCAGCCCGTTTAGGGAGAATCAATGTAGGTGAACTGAGGACCAGAGGAAGGTAGTTGAGGGGACTTTCCCCAATGTCCAGCAGAGGGCGTGCTTCCACAGCCAGATTTCCAAAGTCGTTTCTCTCTGGGTGGCCACTTGGGTGCCCCAGGGGAGCCTGGAGATTGGGTGTGGCTCTTAGGAGCTTCCAGGATGTGCACTTCAACCTCCTTGGCCCTGTCATAGAAATGTGCCACCTAGGGGGCCCATCCACCCCAAAGGGCCCAATGTGAATAATGACTCCCATTTTATAGACGAGGAAATGAAGGCTAGGGATGGAAGAGACCTACCTAGGGTTCCACAGCTGTTGCTGTCTTGGAGAGTGAGATTTGCCCAGCTCTCGGATCAAGCCTCAGCTGGGCCTGATACAGACCAGGGAGTTATGTTGTCAGAGCCTGTTTCTTTCTTTTCAAATTGAGCCTTTACCATGTGCCACACACTGAACTTGGCCTCCTTCACACATCTCATTTAACTCTCACAATAGGCTCTGTGCTGCTAGTCCCTCCATATAAATAGCCAAGGCTCAGAGAGGTCAGTTAACGCACACAAGGCCACACAGCTGGTAGCCACCGTCTGAACCTGTTCTTTCTAGCTCATGAAAACAAATGAGAGGGGCCCCAGTTACTCTTCTCTCTGTACTGCCCCAGATACCATGGCATGAATCAGTCTGTCCTTACCTCTTTGCCCCTGGTTTCATTTATTTGACCTCTTCTGAGTACGTCTTGTGTGCTGGGGCCCACTGGGTCGGGAGCTGTTTGAGGGCAGTGACTGGGTCTTATTTAGTAGTCACCGAGCCCCCTACTGTGTACTGAACTCTGCTTGGCCCAGGGGACCCAGGGGAAGATGTCACTGGCGCTTAGCAGGTGCGCATCAAGGAAGTGAATAGAAGTGAAGGAAGGGGCAGGGCCTGGGGGAGTTTGTGGAACCCACCCTCTCACACACACAGACACACGCAAGGCTGGTTCAGAGAACAGAGGCAGCTGTCTTTATTGGGGGCCGTGGGTTGGCTGGCTTCATTCGAAGGCCACACATTTGATCTTAAAGTCACCTTCTGCCGCCAGGTAGTTGATGGCCTCCAGGTCGAGGCGGTTGGGGAACTTGAATGTGTAACCATCTGGCAGCTTGATGGTCAGGTCGGCCTGGTCGAAGGAGATGCACACCTGGCGGGTGGAGGAGGGCAGTGAGCAGTGTGGATCCCCAGGCAGGAGCCTCAGTGCAGCCACTCATGGACTGCAGGCCATAGTCCCACCCAGAGCCCTTTCCTCCAGGAACCCTGACAACAGCCCCACTTCATGGCTGAGGCCTCTGAGGTTAGGAGAGGGAGATGACATAGCAGGTGAGGGGGGAAGGGGATGAGGAGGGGAGGACCTAGATCTCTAGCCACTAAGCACACCCAGTCCCCCGGTCCCCATCCCACCTCTGCGACACTTCCAGGCTGGAAGGGGAAGACAGACTCCCGCTGCTCGGTCCCCCAGGCCCCGCCATCCTTGCTGTTACACACAATGGTGTTGATGTCTCCATGTATATCGAAGCGAGGGTTGAAGTGCAGGCACACGTTGTTGCTGTCTTTGCCCAGGTTCAGCACGAAGCTAGGTGATAACAGATGGGACTGAAGCCTCCGTGGCCAGCGGCAGCCCCCTTGGACTAACCAGTCGGTGCCGGTCGGTACACCATTAATGCATCCAGTTGAGAGAACTCATTGAGCCCAGAGGCAAGAAACCTGAATTCCAGCTCAGGCTCTGCCACCTCCTTGCTGTGTGACTTTGAGCAAGTCTCTGCCCCTGTCTTGGTCTATTTCCTCATCTGCACAATGGGGACTGCACAAGAAGGATCTTTATGGATCTTGCTGTGCTGATAGCCAACACTCTCGCAAACATCAATGTCTCAGCCCCTTTGGTCAAGGTCGGAGACTCCCTCCAGATGGTGACTTCTGGGAGGGCAAGTGTCCTGTCTGCCTCATATATCTCTGTACCCCTGGTGCCCAGCATGACGCATGACACACAGTAGGCATTCAATAACTGCCAGGCCAATGAACAAATCAGAATAACACATTTGATGAGTGGAGGTAATAGCAATGCTTGCCCCTGAGGGTTTGGTAAGAATGAAATGAATAGTGCCCGGGAGGTGTGCGACTCCTTGATGTCGGCTCATCTCCTGGGCTCTGAGAGGTCCGGCATCTCACTTCCTCCACATGACCACCTTCCCCCTTGTTTTGGTCTACTAATGGACAAACCCGGGCTCGATGCAGTTGGTTGACTAGTCCAAGGTCACATGGCTGCTGAGAAAATAAACCAGCTAGCTGAATGAACGAGTGAAGTAAAGACGGAGGTAATGAAAGGCTGAGTGACTGAAGAACGCAGGAAAGAGGGACCTCAGAACGAGAGCGATGAGGATGACTTCTCCCTCTTTCTCTCCCCGCCCCACCCCCACCTCGCGCGGCCTCAGGTCCCGCCCAGAGTCGGAAGGCGGGGGCAAGCCGACGCAGAGGATGAGGCCGCAGCTGTTTTAGTTTAAGAGGCTCCAGCAGGGCGGGGAGGGGGCGACCGTGGTGCGGGCATCCAGATCCCGCGGAGGAAGTGACTCACCCAGAAACGCAGTCTCTGCGGCCGCCTGAGTTAATCCCCTCCCCCCTACGCCAGGGAGTGGGGAGGAGGGTGCTCCGGCCACGCCCCTACCCACCGCCCAGCTGGACCCTCCAGCTGGGAGCCCCGGCCTCCCGCCGCCCGCCCTCGCACCCTCACCTTTTGGCGTCGGGGGCCACCTCGCCCCGCACTCTGAGACACTCCCCAGGTTTGAGATTAAGGTTGCTGGCGACCAGACCCTGCGCAGACAAGACCCCGCCCAGCCAGGTTAGCCAACGCAGTGTCCCGGTGGGTGGGAGTGGGGTCGTCCCCACCCTGGATCCTCCGCTCAAGCCATGTGGAAGCCTGGGGAACCTGAGGGCAAGTTCTAGCCTTTCTTTCTCTGTGTGGTCCTGGTCAGGTCCCCACTCCCAACCGGGTCACTTTCCTGTCCGTAACACGACTGATGTTCTAGAAACCAAAATCTAGAACTTTTCGCGTTCAGCTTGGACATTTTGGATTCAGAACGGCCTGGGAGGTGGGGTGCTATGCCCCACCGCTTCATGCAATAGATAGACCCTCGTGTAATAGTGAGTGAGGGCATTTCTGGCAAAGGAAGGTGAATGGAAAGGTCTGCCCCTCAGCTAGAGAGAAAGGGGTCTGGGGCTGCGAGATTCCGCCCCCCCCCGCCCCCTCTCCCCCCTCCCCACACACAA